ACCTTAATCAATGTCTGAAAATCTGCAAAGCATTTTGATAATAAAACTAGCTAATAGTTTTTTAACCTAATTCTTAACTAATGGTGCAGTCTCCTGATTATGGGTTTTTTATTGTTGACATTTTATGCCTGAAATAGCATTAGGAACATTCTCTAACCATTGTAAAATACATAAATATGAAAAACAGTCAAAGTTGTAAAATACACAAATATGAAAAGCAGTAAAAAAAATGTGTTAAAATATTTAAACAAAATAATTTAAAATTATTTTTATACAAGTTAAAGTTTTAACCAATACATTATGTTAGATTATTATTGTCAGCTGTTTGCGCTACTTTAATTAGCAAAACCATTGCAAGCTCGTCCAAAGTTTTGTTAAAAAAATTATTTTAAAAAACATATATATATATATATATATATATATATATATATATATATATATATATATATATATATATATATATATATATATATACGAAGAAAAACAACATTTTAATAGTACTTAAAGTTTTGTGCCTTTCGGCAATCATCAGCTATTAATTACAAATCAAAAACGTAAATTAACGTTTAAAAAACGAATCAAAAATTTACGGTAGAACAAGTTCTGACATAATATATAAAAGATGTAATCATTTAGTCTCCAGTATCAAACGAAGATAACAGGAATTTATTTAAATGTCGACATTTAGATATTATTCCGTTTTTTTATTAAGCAGGTTGTTTCTATTAAAAGATAAAATTTCTAGTTTCTCATGAAGACAAATATTGCATGTTGAAGATAATCTTATTTCAACAGTGTGTTGGAGTCTTTTGATAACACTAGGCGGGTGGTTGGAACCACAGTGGACATAGATCAGTTCATTGTTGGGTTTAGAGTAAGGTCGAAAAGAGTTGCTATTAAGATCGAGTGTCACATCAAGATAATTTACAATTTTCATATTGCATTGGATGGATATAAGAAAATCATTAGTTTTAAATATTTTTACAAAGTGTTTCTTGATCTTTTCCATCTGCTGGCCATTGGTGTTCTTAAATATTGCTAGACCGTTGTTACGATATTAATCAACATTTTATTTTTTGTAATGTAAGGAAATTTGAAATAATGAAAAAATATTTACTGATTCGCAAACTTCAGCACCGTCATTGATTTGTAATTAATAGCTGATGATTGCCGAAAAGCACAAAACTTTAAGTACTATTAAAATGTTGTTTTTCTTTAAATAAAATATATATATATATATATATATATATATATATATATATATATATATATATATATATATATATATATATATATATATACACTCTTTTATTATAATATCAAGCACTGTTTTTCGTACAATAGTTTTGTATTATTATATATAAATATATATATATATATATATATATTTATATATATCAGAGCTTGTTTCAAAGCATTAAGTGGCTGGCAATTTACGTACGAATTACGTACGCCTAGAGCAATTTAAATTCAGCAACTTTTGATATTTCTTTAACTTTTAAATTATTCTATTAAGCGGTAAGTTTGAATGACATTTATGTTAGATGTTAGCACTATTTACTAATGAAAAAAATTAAAAACTACAAAAACTCTCTATTAAGCTAATTATTTTATCGAACAGAAAACAAAATTGTTTATAGTAACAATTGTTTGTTTTTTTTTTATGCGAAGTTTTAAAAAAAATAAAAGAAAACATAAAAGAACTATATATAATAAAAACTTTTATTTATTATCTTGAGAGGACAAGAATTGTTTATGCAACTTTTGATTGCATTAAAAAAATTTACTTAAATTTCTATTTCTATAGTAATTAATAATTTCTGCTTAATTTTTTTTTTTTTTTTTTTTTTTAATTATCGATTATTTTGCTTGAAAAATGCTAATGCTTTAAGCTTGAAGCAAAAATCATTATAATGTAATTTATTTCTGATAAAAAAATAAATGATTTAATTCAAAACTAATTTAACAAATATAATTTTATTCTGATAAAAAAAAAATTAATTTAGATTTAAAAAAATATAATTGAATTTTGATTTAAAAAGTATATTTAAGTTTATTTAAATTAAAGTCAATGCTTGGGTTTAACTTATTGATTATATGATTTAAAAAAATATAATTGAATTTTGATTTAAAAAGTATATTTAAGTTTATTTAAATTAAAGTCAATGCTTGGGTTTAACTTAACTGTCATTTTTTTTTTAAATATTACTAAATATTATTCAATATTTGAATTTAATTTGTTCTTAAAAGAAAATTAGCTCGTTTTTATTATTTTGTTTTTTTGGGGGGGTTTTCCTTCCAAAACATAATTTTATTACTCAAAATTAAATTTTAAATAAATGGCTGCATCAAAAATTTGTACAAAATGTAAGTTAAACTTTTTTTTTTATATATGGCAAGTTAAATTGCAGCGATTATTTTTTAATAAATGTTGTTTGGAAAAATAATCTTTGCTTTCACAACGAAATCATTTATAAAATAATAAACTTTTAATAAATAAAAGTAGATAAATTAATGTAATTTTTTTTTGTTACTCACTAATTTTTTTAAATAAAAAATCTTTTTTAGTTACAATTTTTTAATTATTAAAAAAAATGTGCAAATGAATAAATAAATAAATATATATATATATATATATATATATATATATATATATATATATATATATATATACATATATATATATATATATATATATATATATATATATATATATATATATATATATATATATATATATGTATATGTATATATATATATATATATATATATATATATATATATATATATATATATATATATATATATATATATATATGTATATACATATATAAAGTGTGGCACCTAATATTAAAACTATAATAATAATAATTTAAAGACATTGCTTTTTTAAAAATTATTGCTTTATAATCAGGGCTGTGGAGTCAGAGTCGGAGTCGCGGAGTTGCGACAATTTTACCAGAGTCGGAGTCACTAAAAAATATCGCGACTCTGACTCTGATAGTAAAATTTCTTGGTATTGCACGTGCATGTACAAAACATTCAATTAACCTTATGTTCATACTAAACATCAAAGAATGTTTCATAAATTTGTCAAAAAAAAATTTCAACTTACCGGGCAATATTTTTTAAAGAATTCAAAGAATTTTTCAAAAATTTTGCTTTGGAGTCGGAGTTGGAGTCCGAGTCAGAGTTGTACTCAAAAAATTTTAACAACTGGAGTCGGAGTAAGTACTTTTTTTTTACGACTCCACACCCCTTCTTATTAAAAATGTTAATCAAATTTTAAAAACATCGTATTATACAAGCTTATTTTTGAGCATGCAATTTATGGTTGGTAGTATAAACAGTTTGAAACAAACATTGATTTTATTGAAACTTGAATTTTATTAAAGAGGATTTATAATGCTAAATTTTTTAGTAATGCTAAATTTTTTAGTAGATAAACTATATGATAACAGCTTGTTCAGTAGAGCGCTATGAGAAATTCCTTTAAAAGTTTTGTATAGGTTGATTAAGATTATATGAAATTCCTTGTCTGCTCCTTTTTTATATTATTGGTAAGTAGAGTAGGTGCTAATTGTTTATGATATCTCTATTGTTTATCATTAAGTAAATTGTTATTTTATATGATATGAGTTAAGAATGAACTGCTCTCTTTAAAATTTTTGACAGTTTTGGTAATATAGAATAGGTCCATAATTTTTGTGTCATTTTAAGGTTTTGAATTAGAGATTTGGATAATTTTGGCTTGTTTCAATTTAACAGGCATAATTTCAGAGCCTATTAATTATTATATTTAATCTATTAAAAAATACAGTCTGCGAAATTCAGGTTGGCATTCGGCAATGTTGACATAAAAGCCAACCCATCTTTGCTTTAGAATGGCTTTCAAGTTTTGACCTGAATATCCTAAAGTGTCGGCATGCAAATTGAAATACATGTAAAAATTATATAATATTCGTTAAATATTAGTTAATAATTTATTTATTGTAATTACTTGCTTTTCAAGTTTATTTTTCAAGTCGTGGAAATAATGTTTATATATAAGAAAAAAACAACTATTTTTAGTATTTTTAACTTTTGTTTTCCCTCCATCAATTTACATATAGTTACAAGTTCATACTATACTACAACTAAGTATTAAAAAGCACCACTAGTACTACTGTAGGAAAATTAAACCACTTACTAGTACTACTGTAGGAGAATTAAATACGCATTCCTTGTAGAGGTTAAAACAACCGGATGTAAACTGTCTACTCATTTTATTAAAAAATTTTCTGTTTTAAACAAAATCTTCCCCTACAGCAGATAAACTTAATTTGTAATTCTAAACAACATTTTTTCTATGAGCAATATAAAAAATCATTAAAATATGATAAATAAGCTATGACCTTTTTTTTTTTGTTGTTAAAAAAACAACTTCAAAACTAAAAAATCACTAATTTATTAATTTGTTATATATTTAATTTATTACACAAAATTTAATTGCTGCATTCTATAAAATGTTATTGTCTGAAGCGATGCTATTATAAAGCAATCCTATTATAATCAATTAATCATTACCCCTATTGTAACAAAAAGTAAAAAATCCCTCTTTTTTTTTTCTTTTTTTTTTTTGCCTATCTGACCTCATCTAAGGTTGGCATGCTTGTGCCAACCTGAAATCTTCCAAATTTTGAATACTGGAAATATTTGCTGCACAGTCACAGGGTAGTAAAGGTGGTAAATCAACTGAAAATTCTCATTAAATTTAATTCAATTAAATTTAAGCCTCTTTCACTACATGCCATTACTTTTTTATTCCTACTTGGCTCATAAAATTATATGCTCAATAATAACAACTTTCTAAAACCACTTTTTTTACTACTTAAATTTTATTACTGTACTTTGTTGTTCAGATTTGTCTCTTATTTATTATGTTGTTCATATTTTGTCTATTCAGAGTATACACCTTGTATTATGTAAGTGGGTGATTTTTGTTTGTTTTTTGTTTTCAGAATTATTCATGACAATGGCTTCTCAGAAGAAGAGGTTATTCGGTATAAAGCCATAATCTTTAGTAATACTGTTATGTCTCTTATTTCAATACTTAGAGCTATGGAAAAATTAAATATTTGGTTTGGAGATGAAGCAAGGCAGGTATGCTTCCATATTTTTGCTTTTAATAGTGTTATATTTAATATGCCTTATAACTTTTTTGAGAAATTGTATGATGTACAGTACTTTTAGCATTTAAAATAGAATTCATCATATGGTTTGCCAAGTTTGTAAATTTCCATCGTTAGTGGATCTTTCCCTTAAACTTAAAAGGAGAAAAAAAAAATGGTTATAAAATTTATATCCTAGTTAGCACACAAATATTATATGTAACTATTTACATTTTACTTAAAAAATTGTTGTTTTTTTTTGTAATTTATTATATAAAAAAAAAATGCAAGTTACTGAAAGTTATTGGTCAATTATAAAAGGAATATATATATTTTTAAAAAAATATTTACTTTAACAAGGCTGCAAGCAACCACTATTAGATTTGGAATATAAGTTTATAAATCACACAAAAAAATGTTTTTTCTGGCAATTGCATTTTAATTCTGCTTTTAATTTTTTCATAATCTGCTTGGTTTAACATCTCAATATCTAAATTCATCATCTGCTTGGTTTGACATCTCAATATCTACATTCATCATCTGCTTGGTTTAACATCTCAATATCTACATTCATAATCTGCTTCGTTTAACATCTCAATGTCTGTTTATTATCTGCTTGGTTTGACATCTCTGTATCTATGTTATTCCATATATAAAGATGGTTTTCAAACATTGTAAATAATTTTTTGATTTTAAAGGTGACCAATCATCCAAGTTTGATAGTTTCAATTCTTACTTGACAAGACATAAAGTTCTGATTTTGTTATATTCATTGATGAATTCCTAATATCAAATGATGGTATATTGTAATTTTATAAAAATATAGATTATATTTATATTATAGATTATAGTTTTTATTTAGTTATTTATTTTTTACCTACATTTGTTTTGAAAAACTTTAGAACCCCCGTCATTAAAATAATTTTGTTTAAATATATTTCAAACTGATTATTCAAACTTATTTTTTCATTTGACTTCCCGAACTTCATGCAAAGCAAATTCAAACAGAGTATTGTCTAACCAAATAAAAATGCTGTTACTAATTTTATACGGGTAATTAATATAAAACAAATGTTTATCAGAATCTTGATTGAGATAATAAATATTCATCTTTTATTAACATTAAATATAGCGCAACGAACCAGCATAAAATATTTAAGGTTTTAATATCTTTTTAAATGTTAAGTAGAAATTAATTAACTAAACAATTAATGAAAAAGTTTATTAATAAAAATTTTTAAATAAAATAAATAAAAATTTTTCCACTGCTTCATTTGTTAAAAAGCTACCGTGACATCAAATACTAAAACTTTTATGATTTAAACACGCTTCAAAGGAATTGTCGAAGTCTGTAGATTGCGACATATAATCTAAAGACTTCGAGTTTTTGCTTAAAATAGAGAAGGCGAGCTTCGGCTAAAACAACAAGATTAGTTTTTCTGAGTATGCATTCATTATTTATTTTTAATCAAAAAAACTTGGTTCAAACCTTTTTTTCAACATTATCTTTAATATGAACATAACATATATTGGGAGTTTGGGATCCCTTTAAAACATTTTAATATTGACCAGTGTTTTTCAATCAACAATTAGAATTGTTTTGTGGCAATATAAACAAATGTTTTCCTATTGAAAGAGAAGCTGAAGTGAAAAAAATACTTAAACAATTTTTTTCCTATTGAAAGAGAAGCTGAAGTGAAAAAAAGAAAGCATTTTAGATTAATTTTAATAAAATCTATTCTTTGTTCCATTATAGCTAATCTATGTCAGCCCCAGAAAGATCTTGCAAAAAAATTTTAATGCAGCCAATATTTAATAAAAAAATATTTAATAAAAAAAAGTACTTAGATCTCAAAAATTTCATAAAAAGAAAACTCCAAATCGATCCATTGATAAGGAAAACAAAGCAGTTTTCTGTTCAAAAAAGCTATAAACTTTAAAATCACGAAAACTTGTGCATAATTGAATACAATAACACTAAAAGAACTTTTCACAAATGCCTGAACGGTAATATTTTTATCAGTCAAAAGGTACCTTTTGTTACCAGAAAATTCAAATTATTTCAAACTGAGAAATTTGCAAGTTTTTTATATGGCAAACAATCTGTTCCTGTAGTTTTAAAAGTACACCATACATTACTTGTAAAACTTTGAACACAGATTTGTATTTAAAAATATATTTAAAGAGAGGCCTTTTATCATATATTAAAAAGCGTGATGTTTTGGTCTTTTATCATATATTAAAAAGCGTGATATTTTGGTCTAAATTGGTTGCAATTCAAAACTCCAAGAAATCTCTAAAATGATATGAACTAAACGGCATCAAATCTAGAAATAGTCAGAAAGTTTTTCCTATAAACTGTAGTTTTAAAGAGCACGTTAATAAACCAAACCAGAAATAGTTTAAAAATTTAAATAATTTTTTTTATTCTTAAATGATAGACTGCCTGCCCAAACCAAACCCTTAGTCGATGTAGCAGCACTCCCTTGCGAGTCAGGCTTTAAGATAGTTGATGTAGCAACATTCTGCGCATGTTTTAAAAATATATTTTAACCAAACAACAACAAAAACACCATTAATTAAAAGGTTATTCTAGTCATTATTATTGCAGTTTTTTTTAAAAACAATAAAATTTAATGTACTTTTGACGACAATAGAATACAGTTTAAGAGACAAGGTAAAAAAATTGTAGTCGAAAGAGACTTTTTTTACCATAAAAGTCTCTTTTGACTACACTATAAGGAAATATATTTTTATACTTTTTTCAAAAATTAACTCTGCAAAACAGCTTTGTCAGACTAATTGCAGCGAACGGCATGGTAAAAAAAAAATCATTTGGTGTGTGTATTTAGCACATATTGATGTTTTTATATGCTGAGTTTCATAGTTTTTACTTGATGCTTTATAAGCATTTCTATGTTGTTATTTTTTTGTCATGATGGTCATAACCGTGGCGTTCGTAATGAAAAATCTAATTTTGAAAAAAAATAAAATAAAGCAACACAATCAAAAAAAAAAGATGAATAATCATAAAAACCATGTAAACTATGTAATACTATAAACTTGTTAACATTATCAAAGTTCTTAAAAAAAAAAAAAAAAAAAAAAAAAAAGAGTAGCCTCCTCGACTGTAGTGCCCCCCTCGCACCTTAGGGAGGTGAATAATTAAAAAAAAAAAAAAAAATGGTTTTTTAATACTGTGTTCATTAAATTTAAAATTGGTAACTAAAGGGAGGCTGCTATATTTATTTATACTTTAATACTTTACTAAAGTTTAAATGGTTAATGCTCCCTGTTCCCAACATAAGTTTATAAAATAATTTTTTTAAAGTAAAATATCAATTTCAAAATTGTTTTCGAGCTTTGGTTGCCAACTTTCACTTGATTTTTTAGCTTGTTTTCGTTTCTTTTGTGTTCTTTGATAACTGTCTTCTTTAATAACTTTCCTTTTTTTCTTTTTCCAACAACGCTTTTCTGTTTCTTGCTCAATAAGCTTTTGATATTTCAGCATCTGATTAAGGCATATAAAAAATGTTATTAAATATAACTTTTGAGATTAATGTTTTGTTATGGTTAAAAAAAAAACGCGAAATTTATTACTAAAAAACCCGCGAAATCGAATAAACAAAAACGTTGCAATGCAAACAAACTAAAAAAATGTTTTAACGAAGAAAAAAAATTCTTTATGTTAAAAGTTTTTATTTCTCAACAAATATTAATTTATTTACATCAATTATTTTAAATAAGTGATTCATATTTTAAAAAAGAAATAATTTCTAATATTAAATTATTTTAAATTACTTTAACAAGCTTAGCAATATTATGAGTAAACAAACTGCAAATATTTTTCAACTTGGTTTCAATAATAAAATCGTTCACACTGAAACTTTTTATATAGTTGTCAAGAAGCCGTTATGGAAAAAAACAAACATAACATGATGGTCGTAACATACTTTGTGTATCTTAATACTATCATCTAAAGCTCTTTTTTTTTAAAAAAATTAAAACAATAATAAAACTTATATCAGTATCTTTACTTTTACTATATTTTTAGCTTTATAAAGTCTGATACGAAGCCTAGAAAAAACTTCTTGATTTTTTTTCATGACGGTTGTAACGCATTAATTTGATAAACATATTCTTTTTTTATACAAAGTTGGAGTTTTTTATAAATAATATTCTACATAATGTTTAATATTGTCTTTAAGTTAAACTAAAAAATAATAGTTACATAAAAACGCAGCACATTAACCTTTTTCAACACTTCACAACAGGACTATATAAAAACGTCAAAAATTGTTTATATCACCATTACAACTTTAAAAAAACTTGCGGAATTGCCCATATATTTTTTTAAAAAAATTTACTTCCAACAAGGCTGCAAAGCCACTATTAGAGCTAGAAGTTACTGGAAGGAAAAGATAAAGTTTATAAAGATAATTATTAACTGGTGACTTAAAAGATTGCAAATTATATTAATCAGAAAAACAAGATGAATGAATTCTAAAAAACTAATGTTCGAGGGAAAAAACTTAATGAAAAAGAATTTTTGGAGCATTTAAGAACAGTCACAGTAAAATAATGAGACTTAATGAATCTTCTAATATTAGTAGACAACACAAGGCGCTAGCTTTAAAAAGCAGCGCCCATTATAGTATTTATAAAAAAGAGAAAGAGAAGCAACATTACGACGATCTGACTATGGTTGAAGGTAGGCTGTAGAGGCAGGTTTAACTATGCGTTTATTTACAATGTGTTTTTGCATTTTGTCTAAAAGAGAAAGGGTATCATTTGAAGATCCCACAAAAATTTCACAACAGTATTTCATACATGGACGGATTAGAAATTTGTAGAGATTAGGAATAGAATTCGGAATAAGAAAGTGGCAAGCACGATAAAGAAATGCAATCTTAGCAGATGCTGATTTTGCAATGGGTTTGATATATGTTTTCTAAGAAAGATCAGAAGTAAGAGTTAATCCTAGAAGATGAAGATTAAATGACTCATCTAATACATTGCTGTTCATAAATATAGGAAGATCTAGATTATTAAGGTAACAATTAGGTGAAAAAAATTGAATTTTATCTGAGTTAAAGTTCACCAGCCACTGAGAACCCTATGCTGCAGTAGAAGTGAAATCCTTTTAAGCTCAAATGCCTCCTCCAAGCATACAGAAAGTGTTGGCTTCTTATCAAGACAAGAATAAATGATTGTATCATCAGTAAACAATGCCACCTTAGATGTGAGAATTTCTAGGAGATTGGGTGTGTAAATTAAAAAAGTATAAAGCCATGGATAGAACCTTGATGAACCCCTTAAGTTACAGGATATGAAGAAGAATGCTGTCCCTCAAAGACAACTTTTATACAACAATTGGTAAGGAAGGATTTAATAGTTTTATAGATGTTACCTGATTCACCCTAAGAAGAGAGCTTGTGGAGAAACTTTAATAAAAGGCTTTAATAAAGTTTGAAATGTCAAATATAATATGAATATATAAATGTTGTTAGCCATAACCTCTTCGCATCTATTTAATGCACAATAAACTATCAGGCATTACCATTAACAAATCAGCAGCAGATCAAAATCCATTTTAATTATCAGAAAGTTATTAGATTTAAGATGAGAGAATAGGTGTTTACAATTAAAGGCTCAAAAACTTTGCTTATAATAGTAAGAAGACTAATGGGACTGTAGTTAGACAAGTAATATCACTCTCCAAAATTTTTGAACTTAGGGATAACAAATGCCACATTCTAGCAGTCTGGTAAAGAAAACTGATAAGCTCTGAATAGTTTTTAAAGTATAGTCGACAACTCTGCAAGACTATAATAGGTATGTTGTCCAGACCAAAAGCTGTAGAAGAGTCTAAGATGAAAATCGCTTTAAATACAGAAGCTGTAGTGGTAATAATGTCAAGCAATAGATCAACCTGTTTGTCGGCTATATCAGGTAGGATGTGATTAGAGGAATTAAGTGATAAGATTGATGAAGAGTTCTTAGCAAACAATCAAGCTTTGTCTTTAGGTGAAGTAACAAAATCTGAATCATGCAAGAAAGGTGGAATAACAGATTTGCCCTTATTATAGAAACTGTTAAATATTTCAAGAAGTCACTCTGGAGTCTAATTTTTGAGATAAAATATGAGATTTTTTGATCTGACAATAGTGGGCTTTGGTTTTAAACAAATTTTTTTTTAAATGAAAAAAAACAGAAGTCTGATTTCTAAAAAATTGTTTTGGCGATAGATATTGAAAGTAATGGTTATAATTGAAAATTGCAGCAGCACAGTAAGAGGGAAACCATGAAAAAGAATGAAGCTTGATTTAGAATTGTTGAGAATAACTCAAGTTTGCATAGAATAAAAGATTCAATGCAAACTTGAGTCCATGAAGATTCTCAGTTCTCAGAATTTCTCAGTTCAAACTTGAGTCCATGAAGATTCTCAGTTCTTAGAATTCGTTCATCATTTCTTTAGAATTTGCTATATCAGATCTTTGGGATTCGCATCCTTTATCTTGCTTTCCTGATTTATATAATTTGCAATTTTTTAATTTTTCTGTCAATCATTGTCTAGATCTATAAACTTCATATTTTCAATTCCAGTAACTTCCAACTCTAATAGTGGTTGCTTGCAGCCTTGTTGGAAGTAAAGATGTAAAAAAAAAAAAAAAAAAAAAAAAAAAGATACACAAGAAGCACATTTGTCAGCAGAAAGATAAAAGAAATCTGCCCAAGGGCGATCACAAAAAAAAACTACAGAAATAGTCCCAGTCAGCTTTAAGGTAGTTGTTAGAGGTACGATGATAGGGGGATTCTAATGATGAATAAAAATGAGGTAATAGTTTTAGAGAGATCAAACTGGATCATTAGCAACTAAGGGTAAATGTGGAGAAACTGAGCTCTGACTAGAATATGAAACAAGACATAAGTTAATTACAGAAAATGATTCGGATTATCTGGAAAGTGAGTTGGAAAGTTGACTATTTATGTAGAGATTGAGAAAGTCAAAAGTTGTAGATCTTAACACCTGCAGAGTCACTGACACTAGGCCAAGCCATTTAGTGTGCTGAGAATTAAAGTCACCAGCAACATCAATATTAGCTGAAAGATAAAGAGTTTGGTCAGTTGCATCAGAAATAACATAGAAATAACTGCAAGCTTGAGATAAAGGAGAGCGATATAGAACAAAGGGAAAGGTGATAGAGTGAAGTAGTGCTTAACAAAAGCACATAAACTAATAGTCTGTGGATTCAAACCTAGTTTCCCAACACATGGGTGAATTCTTATGAATGTATATGCCCAATCCAAACATGTGACCATTGGAGTCTTAACAAACTAAAGGAAGATAACCATTAACACTAAAATCACAAGATGAAACAGCCGAACTCAAATAAGTCTTACAAAGAGCAAGTAGATCTTGTGAGCTTTGTAAAAGTTGACTCAACAAAAAAAAAGTTACTTTGAAGACTACATGTATTAGTGAATGATAGATTTAGAGAAGTTAGTGATGACGATGGTTTTTTGTATTTTATAGTTTTTGGTAATTTCCTACTCATTTTTGGATTTATTAAAGAATTTGATTCAAATTACAGATAGTACTCCGTACACTATTTAATATTCCATACAATTACCTCATTACTATTAATAAATCCTAAGTCGTAATAAAGGGCTCTAAATGAGTCCTCAACAATGCACACCAAAAGTATACCCAGGACACCATTCTTGTGCAATATGACACTGTTAGTATTCTGATACTTTACAGCTGCTAATGGAATCAGCCTCTCAAAGAGCTACCACAGTGTTAGGGACACCTGGCTACCAGCTGGCCTAGAACCATATAACTGAGTTTAGAGTTGTACCCTCATTAAGAGATAATAGAATGAGTTTGCTAGTCAAATAAAGTGACAGAAACAAAACCTATGCATTAAGTCAGGAAGTTCCAACATTCAACATCCTAATTGGAAACAATGTATTATTAACATATCTACACCAGCCTTATAGATAAAGAAGGGGTTCAAAGCTGGCCAACAGATAGAATCAGTTTACCCCTAAAAAATTTTACAAAAAATTTTCTCAAAACTCAAAGCAAGATCCAGCAGATAATGTCAAGTACTTGCAAAAATAGTTCAATTAGCTTCATTGTGTCAAAAAATTTCAAAAATCTGTTAAGTAGTATTTGAATAATTAACAATTAAAGATGGTGAATTTTATCTTGTTTAACTGATATATTTAGTTACAGAAAATGATATTGACAGAAGACTGAAAAGCTGTTAATTGTAATTGGTTTGCTTGAAAAAATTTAGAAATAAATGCTTGTAGAAAAAGATAAAAAGATCAATACTTGTTTCTTTGATTAAATCTTCTATTTATAAAAATTATGATTCAATTATTATTTTATTTATATTTTTAAATATAATAATCAATAAATGAACATAGTAATTTTTAATTTACAATTAGTTAAAAGTTGATTAAATTGTTACTTTTATTGCTGTTTTTAAAATATTTTTAATTTCACAATTAACAAAGTATTAAAAGAAAATTTTATTATTTAAATTTACATTTTTTTAATTAACAAGTGTTAATTTTTTGACAAATGTTACAATAACATTAAAAATCTTTACTAGTTATAATGAAAAAATAAGAAACATAAAATAATATATGTATGTATTGCTCCATAGAAAGATTCATCAATTTTGTTTCAAGTTGCACTACGTAATGAGGAGTCTTTGCCATTTTCCCCAGAAGTTCTTAAAGCTATGAAAAATTTATGGGCAGATGATGGTGTCATAAAATGTTTTAAAAGAAGTCGTGAATACCAGCTTAATGATTCAGCTCAATAGTGGGTTATTTATTTATTTTTTATGTGTTTTTGTTGATATTTAAATAATGTTTTAAAAATAAAAATGCCACAATAAATATGGGTTTATCTGTGCAAGAATTGTCACTAATGATGTCACATTAAAATAGTCCTATGTAGAGGTTTGCGGTATTTTCGGTATTATAGTCCTATGTGGAGATTTCCGATATGACTTTATTATTATCATCATTATTATAGGTTTAATGTTAAATTTCAACTAATTGATTTTCCTTAAGGGGCTGTCTGTTAATTATATCAATAATTTTTACGCAATTTTTTCGTGGTTCTGCCAAATTTTTACAAGATTCTACCAAATTACTTTTTTACCTGTTTTAACAAAGTAACTATTTACAAGTTTTATTTATAAAATAAATGATATAAAATGAATAAATATAAGCAATTTATATTTATAGTATAGTATTTATCAAGAAATAAATTATAAATTGTGAATGTTAAAAAATTTTGAAATTAGAAAAATTGTTGGTTTGTTAGGCAAAAAAAAAAGATTTTATTTAATTTGTATTTAATATTTCTAGGAAATGGAAGAAAAATACAGAAAAATTCAATTGGTAGCATAGCAAAAATTCAAAATAGTTTATATAATATTTCAGGACTACTTAGTACTTGTGATATGATGTAAATTTAAATGAAATAAAAAATAAATTGTGCAAAAAAAGTAATATAAAGTCCATTTTTATATGCAAGACATTTTTAACAAGCAATTATTTCTAATGAACAGTAAACAACTTGAAAACAAAATATTAAAGTAAAATTTTCAAATTAAAAAGTTTAAAAATTTTGTTCCTGTTTCAATTTCTTTTAAAGTAAAATAAAATAAGTGATAACCATGTTTGCATTTTTTTTTTTTTTTTAATACTAATTCACCTCACCAAGGAGGAGAAGGGCACTACAGTCGAGGAGGCTACTTAAGTTGTGATTACAACCCTCTCTCAACTCTATAACTCTGAAATACGAGCCTTGTTGAACAAGCTTGCTCCGTGGAGAAATGAGTTAAGTACTACAAAAGAACTTCTAACTCTAATGTAATGAGTTAATTGAAATGTAATATGTCTTTAGTGCAATACTTGAAGAAGAAGAAGAAAAAAAGGAAAAATTAGCCTTTTATTTACATCATAAAGATTTTAAGACTAATTTATGGGGCCTAAAGTTTTATATCAATTATAATCTTTTGTGTCACTTTTATTTACATCATAAAGATTATATGATTAAGATTCAACCATCTTTTGTGTTTGACAGTTTATAAATTTATTATTTATTCTTATCTATTTAATTTTATAAATCCAAAAAAAATGGAAAAATAAAAATTTATCTTATGTAATTAGTATAATTCTTTGAAATATTTGTTTAAAAATCTTTTTTTTTTTAAATAATGTAATTCTAGCAAAAGGTTTATTCATACATCGACCTTATTTAACAAAATTTCTTTTAAGTTAAGCTAAAATTTCAAAAAGGTTTAAAAATAATCAAAATACAAACTTCCTTAGCTGATTTAACATACATGAGTTTTTTTCCAGGAGTTCCAGAAATTCACTTTTTTTTCACAATTTTTTAGAAATTTTTTTTTTTTTTTTTTTTTGTTAATTTAAAAAAAAAAATTATATATTTTTACATAAAATTTTAAATACGACAACTTTTCCATTTAAACAAAGGTTTTCTATAATTAAAATTTTTAAGAGATCTTTTATCAAGATTTTCGTAACAATTTTTTTACTTTTTTTTTTTTTTTGCTTTTTTATTCATTCAAATTAACTTTTTCGAATATTAGAAATACCTTTTTGTAAAAAGTTAAATATTGTTAATTCTGTTTTAAAAGTTTACGAAAGTTTTTGTTGTCTGTTACAGGGTTATTCATTCTTATATGCGTGTCTATTCAATTTTATATGCATATTTATTCATTTTTTTATGCATTTTAAAAAAGCAATAAGAACAAAAAAAATCATTTACCTGTATACATATACGTATATACATATAAGAACATTATGTATATACATATAAGAACAAAAAAAAAAAATTTTACTTTTTTCAAAACAAATTTTTCTTATTTTCTGGTAAACAAGATTAAAAATACTTAAAACGAAGACTTTTTACGTGTCATGATGGTTTATTTAATTTAGTATCAGGTCTTTGTTTAATTGTATTATATTATTAAATTTCTTGATTAATTAATTTATTGTTTATCTAATTATTCATTTATATAGATTTAAATTTAGTTATTTATAATTATTAATAATATATCTATATAAAAAATTTAAAAGCCTATTTATTGTTTATATTAAATTATATTAGAGATTTTATGGGTGGTTGACTCGCATATAAATGCACATATAATAATGAATAAATGTGCATAAAAGAATGAATAAACATACATATAAAAATCAATAGACGCGCATATAAAAATGAATAACCCTGTAAAACTATCAATTTTCAATTAAATAATTTTCCGCGATTTTCATAGAAAAAAATTTCCGGATTTTCAAAAAGTCAAATACTCATTTATGAAATTTAAAGCCACTAGAGTTGAGATGGGTGGTAAATTTAGCTTTTTAAATGTGTGTGTGTGTCAGGGATGTGCACTCGTGGTTGCCCAGACGACCGAATTTTTTTTTTAATTTTATTTATGAATTTAGAGATAAATGGAACTAAATTTGTTAAAAAAAATTTTTGGCCTTTTTTCATAAATTTAGAAAGCGTTTAGTTTAAACAAAAACTTTTTTGTAAAATATAAAACTTCGAAAGCGTACAGTTAAACAATTTTTTTTTTTTTTTTGAAATATTCAAATTATCTCTTAACATTGTTAATGCTACGTTTCTTATGAAAATATTAGGTCGTAAAAATCATTAAAAAATATTTTAAAAAAACAAATCGTTTTGTAAAAAAAATTTAGTTTATTGTAATGGAATGTAAAATAGTAAAACGCTGAATGTAGAATTTAGTTTCAAATGAATGTTTTGTTTTTTTGTTTTGTTTTTTAATTATCTTTGCTTCCAACAAGGCTGCAAGCAACCACTAATTAGTGTTGGAAGTTACTGGAAGAGAAAAAATGAAGATTGTAAAGCAAGATAACGATTGACAGACGACTTAAAAGATTGCAAATTATATGAATCAGGAAAGCAAGATGAAGGAAGCGAATTCCAAAGAACTGATGTTCGAGGAAAAAAACTAGACGAATAAGAGTTTTTGGAGCACTTAGGAACAGTAACAAAAAAAAGAATGAGACTTAATTGAATGACGAGTAACACGAGAATGAATTTTTGTAGATGGCACAAGAGACGCTAGTTCTTTAGAGCAGTGCCCATTATAGTATTTGTAGAAAAGAGGAAGAGAAGCAACATTACGAAGATGTGACAGAGGTTGAAGGTTGGCTGCAAGAGTAGGTCCAAATATGTTTACAATGCGTTTTTGCACCTTGTCTAAAAAAGAAAGGGCATCATTAGAAGATCCACTCCAGATATAGCAACAGTATTCCATACAAGGCCGGATTTGAGGTTTATAGAAATAGAGAATAGAATCCAGAGAAGAAAGTGACGAGCTCGATAAAAAGAAGCGACTTTAGCAGATGCTAATTTTGCAACGGATTTGATATAAGATTTCCAAGAAAGATCAGAAGTAAGAGTTAATCCTAGAAGATGAAGGGTAGGAGACTCATCGAGTACATTACCGTTCATAAATATAGGAAGGTCTAAATTATTGCAAAAACGATTGGCTGAAAAAAGTTAAGTTTTATCTAAATTAAAGTTCACCAGCCACTGTGAGCCCCATGCTGTAGCAGAAGTAAGATCCTTTTCAAGCTCAGATGCTCCCTGCAAGCAATCAGAGGGAGTTGGCTTCTTATCGTGACAAGAATAAATGGTAGTATCATCAGCGAACAATGCCACCTTAGATGTGAGAAAATCTGGAAGATCGTTAATGTAAATTAAAAAGAGTATAGGGCCAAGAATTGAACCTTGAGGAACCCCTGAGGTTACAGAATAAGAAGAAGAGTGCTGTCCATCAAGGACAACTTTTATACTACGATTAGAAAGGAAGGATTCGATAATCTTAAAGATGTTTCCAAATAAACCATAAGAAGAAAGCTTATGGAGAAGACCAGCATGCCAACTTTATCAAACGCTTTAGAAATGTCAAGAGCAATGGCCTTAACCTCTCCTCCTTTATCTAATGCATGATAAAACCTATCGGTTATTACTGTTAGCAAATCAGCCGTAGAACGAGAAGATCGAAATCCATATTGATGATCAGAAAGTTGGTTATGAGATTCGAGATAAGAGATTAAGTGTTTGTTAATTAAAGATTCAAAAATTTGCTTTGCTATGAAGAAGACTAATGGGACATTGCTTATAATATGAAGAAGACTAATGGGACAGTAGTTAGACGAATCGGATCGCTCTCCAGATTTTTTAAAATAGGGATAACAGATGCTGCTTTCCAGCAGACTGGAAAACAAGACTCTGATAAGCACTTATTAAATAGTTTTGAAAGGATAGATGACAGCTCCAGAAAACACTTCTGCAAGACTATAACAGGTATGTTGTCCGGGCCGCAAGCTGTAGAAGAGTCTAAGCGGGAAATCACTTTAGATACAGAAGCTGGAGTGATACGAATTTTGAGCAATGGATCAACCTGTTTGACGCCTATATCAGGTAGAACGCAACTAGTGGCATCAAGAGATGACATTAATGAAAAAATCTTGGCAAACAATTCAGCTTTGTCTTTAGGTGAGGTGACAAAGTCTGAACCATACAAAAGAGGTGGAATTACAGACTTGCCCTTATTATTGATACTATTAAAGATTCTCCAGAAGTCACGAGAGTCTAATTTTTGTGATGAAATACGAGATTTCATGATCTGAGAATAGCGGGCAAAACCTTTTTACAATGGTTCCTAGCAGTAATAAACAGACGTCTGTTTTCTGGAGAACTGTTTTGCTGATAGATATGGAAGTAATGGTTTCGATTAGCAT